GAAAATGAATGTGGCCCAGAGAAGACAAACAGAAGCATTTAGAAATAAAAAGTCAGGAAGAGGGGAGACCAGCTCCCATTTCCAGAGTGTGCACTCCATCCTATCGGCACAGCACACACTCCACCACCGGGGGGGTGGGGCAGGAACAGATGGGGCAGGAAGCTCCCCCGTGGCCAAGGACAGCCCTGCAGCACCCAGTACGGGATGGGAAGGCCCAGACCAGACAACCAGGCCTCCTGAGCAAGTGTCTCACCCAGAAAAACCTGGATTACACCAATCAGGAATGCAGACAGTATAGAATAGACAAAACACAGCTACCGAAAGTTGTTCTCAAGGAGCTTATGATCATTATCAACTAAATTAAAAGAAGGAAAAAAAAAAAAAAAAAGAGGGGTGCCTAGGCATCTCAGTCAGTTAAGCGTCCGACTCTTGATTTTGGCTCAGGTCATGATCTCCAGGTTGGGAGATCGAGCCCCGCAATGGGCTCTGCGCTGACAGTGTGGAGCCTGCTTGGGATCCTCCCTCTCCTCTCTCTGCCCCTCCTCTCCTTGTACTCACTCTCTGTCTCTCTCTCTCTCTCTTTCAAAATTAATAAATAAACATTTTTAAAAAAGGATAACAGGGTAGTGGTAACTAAAATGAGAATGGGGTGCTGTAGAAAACTCCAACTAGAAGATCTCGGTAAGTTTCTAGAATGCACTGGACCTCAGTTTCCTGTTCTGCAAAATAAGGAATCTGCCACTTACTCCACCAAGTGGGTGGGAGGAAAGGTAACGCATCGCAGATGCTCTGAGCACACATCTGGCATATAAACTCAATAAACAAAAAGCTGTGAGTATTTTCACTTTAGTTATGATTTTGGGGCCAAAGAGGACTACAGAGTTGTCATCGCACTTAATGAAAGCCAGAAAGGCCCCAAGGTCAAATATCAACATTTTAAAAAGTCACCAGTAGGGGCGCCTGGGTGGCGCAGTCGGTTAAGCGTCCGACTTCAGCCAGGTCACGATCTCACTGTCCGTGGGTTCGAGCCCCGCGTCAGGCTCTGGGCTGATGGCTCAGAGCCTGGAGCCTGTTTCCGATTCTGTGTCTCCCTCTCTCTCTGCCCCTCCCCCCTTCATGCTCTGTCTCTCTCTGCCCCAAAAATAAATAAACGTTGAAAAAAAAAAAAAGTCACCAGTATATGAACACAGAGAAAGAATCTGAATGGCTATGGCCCAGGCTACACTCACTCGACAGGTGAGAGAACTGCCCTTGACCTTGGTTGGGCCTGAAACCACTGGGACTGTAGGATCTCTCCAATAACAAAGGAACATTGTCAAGCAAAGCACAAGGAGATCCAAGAAAGAAGGGAGAAAAAAACCAAAAACCAAAAAACCAAACCACCTTCCTGAACAGCCAACACTGCTACGTCATGTACCCTCCACACGACTGATCTCCCCCCTGACTGCCATGATCAGCCGGGCTGGAAGAGGGTATGCTGTCATCACCCCCATTTAGTGGCCCAGGAAGCAGTCTCACAGCTGAATTGCAAAGAACCAGTGTGGCCAAGGCCTCGCTCACTTGACCTGGGGGCTTAGGACTCTTTCACAAGACCACACTGCCCATCCCAAGGGAGACTGAGGGCCCGCCCAACAGATGTGGGCCAACAGCTCTTCACCCAGTTCGAACAGGACATTGGGAATCCACTGAATTAAAAGATAATCTCAAACAAACAAAAAACCCACTCAAAAGATTCTGAACCGTCGACATGAATAAACATGGCCAATTAAAGAAATGCTTTCTGGAAAGGCTGGATAAGAAAAAGAGAGTGAGGAATATTTTGATAGATACAGTCAACGCTGCCAAACATGAGACTCCTGCCTTCCTTTACCATCCACAGCTAACAGAATACCCAGGAGGCATCCATTGATTGACATCGCACACCCTGCCCTCGGGACGGAGGATGTGAGCCAGCCTGTGACCCTGCCCCCAGACAGATGTCTAGTGAGCAAAGAACTGTTTCTTTATAGACGTAGTAAGTGCTGGTAAGTGCTGTGAACTTGCAGTTCCGGGTACCATGGGGCAGGTCATGAGAGGCCTCAGTCTGAGAGGTCAGGGGAACACATGCAGAGGCCCCAAGGGGTCTCAAATCCCATGAGACAGAAAGAGCTATAAGGCTCAAGAGGCCAGCAGGGACCAGGCGGCACAGACCTCGTGACCACACAGACTGTACCTCTCCTAAGAGTATGTGATTCTGCTCTAGGGAACATCATCCAATTTGCCTCATAAGAAGTTATTTATTGTGGCTGCAGCTCAACGTGAAAGTACAGATGTCTGTCAAACAGAAACTTTACAACTTTTTTTTTTTTTTTTTTTTTTACCGTAACTTACAGAATAGGAAAGACACTTTACAACCCAGTATGTATGTACGAACGCACACACACGCACACACTTTCGGCTGGTAAAGAACTCTCAATTACCTTCAGAACCCGATAACCAGTAACCGGAATCATGACCCGCAGTTGGAGATGGAGGCCCCGGATGGGGTGGCAGCGGAGGAGAGCAGGAGGAGGACACAGAACTGACGGGGCTTGGTGACTAATGAGGTATAGGGCGGAGAGAGCGGGAGGTGTCACAGGGCTCTCGGGCCTCGGGGTTGATGGTGGTGCCATTTCTGAGACAGGGGAGCCTGGGGAGATGCAGGTGTAAGTGTGTGGGAGGACAGGAAGAGATCGGACTCCTGGGTCTAGACTTTTCTTCCCATCTAGACTTCCTGCCCGGAGGAGGATGTGCGTAGGGGTGACAAAAGGGACCTTCACTTAAACACTTCACCAAGCAGGGACCCACGCAGAGAAATCTCACATCAGAACTGCAGACCTAATAAAGAATGCATTTTTGCAGACTGTGCTCAGGGAGGTGGACCTTCATGAAGCGAGCACAGCAGCAAGTGGTTGCAGGAGGACTTGGGGACTTGGGGCTCCTGCCAAATGTCTTTCCTTATCTGACCAACATAAAGCACTAATCACATTTAATTAGAGTCCATCTGCCCATCTGTTCCCTCCACTAAGTGAGCTACTTCAGGGCAGGGACCACCCTGTCTCATCAATCTTTCTAGTCCCCAAGCCTCCCTAGCACACTGCCTTGCCTGCTGCCTATAGTAGGTGTTCAACAAACATCTGCTGCATGAGTGGCCATGATTCAACATGACAAAATTCCCAAAAGGCCACTTACATTGCAAGAAACCAAAATAAGGCAGAGCAAATGGGAGGGGGGAGGCAGAATGTGCCAGGAGAATTCTGATCATTGAAGGGTGTGGGCCAACAAAAAGCCAACTGTTCACAGAGAAAATGAATCTTCAAAAAAATGTTAAAGTCTGGAATGCGCTACGGGTCTGGACCTTCACCATCTTGATCAGAAACAGTAAGCAGGTCTGGCATGGAATCAGGAAGACAAAGGAAACATAAAATAGGGGGAATGAGGCATAATGTGTATATATCATTTGGCCTTTTCTAAAGATCACTCTAAACGTTTAATTCTTTATATCGCTTCTCTTGCCTCATTTTTCCATCAGCTCTAGTTCCTTCTTTGTGATGCCTCCCAGTTTCCAATCCTCAGTCATCCTCCAAAGTCCAACTCTTTGCGTGTTACCTGTTATATGTACATGACTTGTTCCCCCAACAAACAAGAAGGGTGTTATACACCTTCTGATCTACACCGCACCCACAGCCCTCGCACAGATGAGACACCCAATAATAGTTGATAAACTGATTTTTATAGTGCTGATTTGATTTTGTTATTAAATGTCAATTCGAATTCATATTTTTCTAGTCTCACCCCCTTTAGTTGAGACTGTAACTAAACCTTTCATTTTTTAATAGTAACAGCCCCATTTACTCAGCACCTACCACATACAAGACATGGCCAAGGACCGTAAGTACATTATCTCCTATAATTCTCAATCTGCAGGGTTGGATTATTCCTATTTTACAGATGACAAGACTGAGGCTCAAGGACAATATAGTTTAGTAAGTGGAAACTTCGGGATTCAAACCCAAGACGACTTAATTTCAAAGCCAAATAAATGTGCAATCACTCTAAAATTTCAACACTATTTTCCCTGGCACAGAAGTGCAGAGAACAGCCCATAGATATGGAATCCATACTCAGTGCTCACCAAGACATATTTAGAGCTCACCTCAGAGGAAGCTTTTATTAGGCTTGAAAAGGCCATAATTTACCAAGACCCATTCACTCACTTCTACAAATACCTAAGTCCAGGTTACGCTTGTTTTAATTCTATGATTAAAAAAATGGAACATGCTAAGGGCACCTTTTATTTCTGAAAGAATGTTTAAGTTAAACAATGAAACAAACAGCTTCAGAACAATCAAGTCATTCATTAGTGTCAAGTAGTTAATAAAATGATCACAGGCACTATCAACAATAGCCAGAGTATGAAAAGAACCCAAAAGTCTACCAATGGATGAATGGATAAAGAAGATGTGGGGTGTGTGTGTGTGTATACACACACACACACACACACACACACACACACACACACACACACATTGGAGTATTACTCGCCAATCAAAAGGAATGAAATCTTGCCATTTGCAACTACGTGGATGGAACTAGAAGGTATTATGCTAAGTGAAATTAGAGAAAGACAACTATCACATGACTTCACTCATATGAGGACTTTAAGATACAACACAGATGAACACAAGGGAAAGGGAACAAAAATAATATAAAAACAGGGAGGGAGACAAAACATAAGAGACTCAAATATGGAGACCAAACAGAGGGTTGCTGGAGGGGTTGCGGGAGGGGGGATGGGCTGAATGGGTAAGGGGCATTAAGGTCCTGAAATCCTTGTTGCACCATATGCTAACTAAGTTGGATGTAAATTAAAAAGTAAAATAAAATAAAATAAAATAAAATAAAATAAAATAAAATAAATCACAGAGCTGTCACAACCTCTGTGCTCCCTACATTACAATTCCCCCAAAGTTTTCACTTACGTGTTATTGCATCTGAACACTCCAGTAACTATGAGGAAATTATTGTTGCCATTGCACACATGAGGAAAAAGATGAGCTAAGAGAAGTTCAGTGGTTGCTGAAGATCACAATGTCTATTATTTGGGGCCCTTGGTTGTAAGCAACTAAACAAAACACCTCCAATTAGCCAAAGCAAAAGAGAAACTTTGTCATAGGAAGGGTAGCTGGGGACTCGCAGATGAACAGAGATGTTTCCTCTCTCTGCTTCTCTCTGCCTGCAGGTTCCTCCTACCCCCCTGGCAGGCCAGCTTTCTCCTCCAGACAGGAAATCTGGGCCACCAGAGCTCCAGAGCCCCATTCCGGCTTCACCACCTCAGAGAGAAAGGCTCTTGGGCCTCAAGTTCAAAACTTCTGGGAGATGAGCTTAAAATGATGCCCACAAGGCCTCTCTGCTCTCCTCAGGCAGACGCTCGGTGGTATGATGGCGGGTACAATGGGACAGATGGCAGATGTCTCCAAAGACATCTCTCCATTAAATCCTCTTCCTCTCCACAGTCTGACTCCCACCCCCAATACCTTTGATCTGGCTGAGGGGTCCAAGAGTGGTAAAACAAGTTCCACGCTTTTCCTTTGTATTTTTCACACAGGAGGCTGCCTCACTTCAGTATGGAATACCCCAGTACTGGAGGCTCTGTGGAAAAACCCCATTTTACATCCTATTACACGGCCGCAATTATGGTCTTAGAGCCTCTGGGACATCCCGGCCTCACAATAAATTCTGCCCTTATTACTAAATAAATAAAAATTTTTTAAAAACTTAAAAAAAAATAAAAACTTCAGAGCAAGGCCTGTCTGGCCTAGTCAGATCAATCAGTGGTCCACCAACGGCACAGGGGACCAATCAGGAAGGACACTCGGCAGGCCCCAAGGGCAGCGGGGGTGGGGGGTGCCAGGTCCAAAATCAGTAAGAGTTAACAGATTAAATATTAAAACTAAGTAGAAATCCTGTACACGCAACTGCTAAGCTACTTACTACTCTTCAGACCCCAAGGCCAATGATCTTTCTTCTTTCTACACCAGGGCTGACACTACTCGGGCGCTACTGGTGAAGCCAGTACATAATAAGGTGCTAATTGTGTAGTAAAGATGTTTAGTGCAAACAGAATTAGAAAGAGAGAGGTCAATATACCCATTTACATCGAGTAACGTCCTAAAATCAGAGCTTTGCGCATCACAATTTTGTCCTAAGAAGAGCTAAAAACTGTATTTCTTCATCAATGAAAGTCAGCCTAGCTCCCCCCCTAGCTCCCCCCCACCAACCACCTCCTGGCCAACCCCCCACCTCCCCTTCACCCCTTACAGCTGAGGGACAGAGCCTCTCCGTAGGTCCTCTACGCCGCAGGAAGGTTCATCCGGGCCCAGGGATGACTCAAGTCCCTTCTTCTAAGGAAGAAAGCAGGAGTCAGACACACAAAACCAAGCCTGCGAGGAGGAACCCAGAGGCCCAGGGCTCTGCAGAGACTGGAGGCGGGCTGGCCTCAGGGCACTCTCTGAAGTCTGAGG